GCAGTAGCTTCTGATAGAAAACAGACTCTAGGATCACAAAGGCCTGACAGATCTACGTCACAGTTTTGCTTATTGTGTCTTGGTCAAGTATGCGCTTGAGTATTTTTGGTTGGTTCATAGCATAGCATAGCATAGCATAGCATAGTTTATTTATATAGCACATTTAAAACGCAGCATGGGAGCTGCCCAAAGTGCTGCACCGGCTAAAACAAAACACAACCATTCGAAAGAACTAAAACAGAGGATAAAAATCCCAATTAAAAGCAGATAAACATGATGAATACTAAGAACACATTAAAACAATGATACAATCAAACACTAAAACGAGTCACTGTCTAAAACCTAAAGAGTAAAAGTGGGTCTTTAAAAGATTTAAAAACCACCAGAGATGGAGCCTGCCAAACTCCAATGGGCAATGAGCTCCATAGCTTTGGGGCATCATGGACAAATGCTCGTTCACCCCGCGATTTGAATCGCATCCGCGGCGTGCACAGCAGCAACAGGTCAGCCGACCTCAACGTGCGCGTGGGCACATGTGGAGTGAGCAGGCCAGAGAGATAGGGAGGTGCCAGGTCATTGAGAGCTTTAAATACAAAGGTCAGTAACTTAAACTGCACTCTGAAAATGACAGGGAGCCAGTGAAGATGTTGCCAGGACAGGGGTAATGTGGCTACGTCGGTGTGTACTCGTCAAGAACCTGGCAGCAGCGTTCTGGACGACCTGCAGCCGATTCAGGGCGGATACCGGAACACCATGGATAAAGCATCTGCCTCCCACTCTGTCTTGCCGTGTTCTGACTTCGGTTCGATCCCCCGTCTCAGCAGGAATTTATTTTCTTCTTCTTTGTTACAGTTTAACCCTTCATCCTGTACATGGCCTTGCTCCGCAGTATCTGTGTGAGCTTTTAGTAACTTTCTCCCCGTCTCGGTCACTGAGGTCAGCCGACCAGTTTCTCCTGGAGGTGCCGAGAACAAAGAGAAAGCTCAGGGGTGATAGAGCTTTCTCAGTAGCAGCTCCAAGGTTGTGGAATGCACTCCCGATTCAGATTAGGATGGTTTCATCACTGTCGGGTTTTAAATCACTCTTAAAGACCCATCTGTTCTCAGTTGCTTTTAATTCAGTTTGAGAATGCATCTGTTTTTAGTAGCTTTTATGTCAGTTTGATGTTTGTTTTATCATGTTTTTACTTTGTGATGAACTTTTTATCTTGTTTTTAGAATTTTTAGGGAACTTCTGTTCTTTTTGGCTTGTTAAGCACTTTGGTCAGCTTTTATGCTGTTATAAAGTGCTTTATAAATAAAGTTGACTTGACTTGACTTGACTTCATGGTGAAACCATTTAAAACATCACAACCATTTTTGATTTAGCCCGCTGAAGCTCCAGGTGAGGTGAGCAGAGACGATTGGGACCAGAACACCAGAACTAAATGCTGCTTGCTTGGAAGTGACCAAATTCAAAGACATTTAGAGACCCAACACATTTAGCTGAAAATAATCAATAAAACTAAAATAAAAATATAATATTTCCCAATTTTTTAGAGTTGGTCTCATCTGCAACAGCGGTCTCCTTAGCAGCAAGAGGCAGAACATGAAAGCAAATGAGCAGATTAGCAATGATTTGTTTCTTAAATTTTCTTATCATGTAGACCTGGGATCGGGAGAAAACTCCCCGTTTCCCATGAGACAAAGACGACACGCCCATCATGTGTTGTAGGTCCAAGGATGACCAGCTTAGGTAACCTCAAAGCTGCAGCTTCAGCAAAAGGAAATTGACCAATTCTAGGCCTCAGGAACACAGGTCTGCATGTTTTCCATCTCTCTGCTTCAGCACACCTGATTTACATATTTGTGTTGCCTCCTTGGAGGACATGCAGTGCTGCAGGTGCCGGTTTATCACTCACTCATTGAAGTGATAGCAGCAGAGAAACGTGTGTTTCTCTGGCAACATGGAGAACAAACAGAGCAGGGGGTCCTGAATTAGGAAACGGTGACTCAGCGGAATTTAGCTTCTACATAAGCACAGCGCCCCCTGCTGATGATCAGCCAGCTAATGACTAACAGGTTTAGGGGATAGCATCCTACAACACATGCACTGCAGTAAGCAGATAGCTGAACATGATGTGATGTGTTATACAATTAACAGAATGCGAGAATCACACAAGACCTACAGATATAGCCAGTATTTAACTTACTGCTTTATGTCCTTCTTACCAAATATTTCATTTAATTATTGTTGATGTGTTCGGTAACAAGATGGCGCCTATGCTTGGCTTGGACACAGTCACCGGCCACTTTTTCAAACTTTTCTCCACTAGCCTTGTTACGGCTGGAGCCTTTTTTGTGTTGTGATTTCATTTTTCTGTGCATTTTTATGCTGCATCCGAGGAGCCTGCCTGCAGACTATGGCCTGTTTGCTCACCCTTGCCCCTCCCTGCACCAGCTGAGCTGGGTTTTCATCAGCCGCAAATTGCTTAAAGGACCTGCTGGAGCTCCTCACCAATGGGGACAATAGTGCAGAGCTGCCTTTCCTCTGGTCTGGTGTCTCCCACTTAGATATTTGATATTGAAGAAGGAATAAGCCTTAGGTGTAACCTGTTACCTTAGATTTTGTGCTCTCTTTAGAGTTATGTTACATTTTAGTGTTTGAACCTGTTTTGGTAAAAAGTTTTTTCTTTATCCATGGTGGTTTCTTTTCTGGAGTAAGACAAAAAAAAAAGAAAGTAAATAAAACTTTTGTTAATTTTCCTTTGTGTCACGCGTCCTCCATGTTACCCCAGGCCGCCTAGACACCTGGTTGTAACAAGCCTCCTCTCTTCCACCTTG